TCATGAGATTTCCAAATAAAAAAGGAAGATTTTTTTTGAGGGGGCAGGGAGGAAGATAGTGCTGTAATATAATATCCTGAGCCAGAAAATGTTCTCCAGGCCAACATTTATCTTAAAAAGGAGACCATTCATTCACTGTATAAACATTTATTGAGCACCTACTATATGATGGGGACTAAACTGGGTTGTGAGAATATAGTTGTAAACAAGCCAGAGCACTTGTCTTCATGGGACTCAGTCTTGAGATGAATCGGTGCTTGAGATGATTACAGACTATGATGACAGCCATCAAGGGAATTGAACAAGGTGTCCTCAAGCGGGAGGAAGCCTACTCTGGGTCTGGTAGGCAGGCACTCCTCATAGGAGGTGGTGTTCACCTTGAGGTCTAAGAGATGAGAAAGAGTGGGCTGTGTAGAGAATCAAGGGAGAGCATTTCAGATGTGTGATTTCTTTAAGCAGAAAATGGAGCGGTCCTGGGATGGGACACTGGAGGGAGACAATGGCAGATGCCCAGACAGACCTGACGGAATCCTGAGCCAGGGCTGTGCTGGTGGAAATGAGAGAACTGAATAGATTCAAAGTAGACTCTCAAGATGGGAATGGCAGGACTTGATAATGGACTGAATGCGGGGAATGAGGGGTAAGGGGAAGTCAAGGAAGGTGTCAAGGTTTTTGGGACAAGGTTAAGGGACAGAGTGGCTGGTGCCATTTACTGAGATGGGGGCTCTTAGGGAGGAACAAGATTTCTTGGAGAAAAGAATCAAGATTTGTGTCTTGAATACACTGCATTTAAGATACCTTTGAAATGCTTCAGGGGAGAGTCAAGTAGACAGAGGGATGCACAAACCTGGATCTCAGGATAGAGGTCAAGGTTCACCCCAGCAATGGGAGAAGGCATTGGCGTGAGTTGGTGGTCCTGAGCTTGTGGGGCTGTGGAATCACCCTGGGCTGTGACTCTGTACATTGGCTGCACGATGGACTATGTGGTGAGCTTTTAAAAAATGACTTTCCCAGCACCCTTTTCCAGAGCCCTGGATGTAATTGAGCTGATGGACATCCATAGTTTTCAAAGCTTGCTGTTGTTGCTATTGCTGTCAGTCACTCAGTTGTGTGTGACTCTTTGTGACCCCATGGACTATAGCCTGCCGTGCTCCCCTGTCCATTGAATTTTCCAGGCAAGAATACTGGACTGGATTGCCATTTCCTTCTCAAGGGGATCTTCCTGACCCAGGGATCAGACCCAAGTCTCCTATATTGCAGGTGGATTCTTTACCACTGAGCCACCAGCAGCAGCAATAGCAACAGATACAAGACAGCAGTTATCCATTCTTCATAGCTTCCTCCTGCTTGGAAGACCCATTCTTTGGTCCTTGATATTTTTAAAATAATTTTTATTATTTTTTGGCCATACCACGTGGCATGTGGGATCTTCGTCCTCCAACCAGGAATCCAGCTCACACCCGCTGCAGTGTAAGTCCAGAGTCTTAACCACTGGACCAGCAGGGAAGCCCTCCTTTGGCCCTTCAGATGACGTTTGGTTCTCTCAGTACCATGGCAGTGTCTGTCCTTAATTTAAGTCAGTGTGCCCTTTGTCCTCCGAGTCCTCGATTTCTGAAGGGGTATCTTGGGTGCTGAGGATTTAAGTACCTCTTCTTTCAGCCTCTCATTCAAATATCACCCTGATGTGGTTTAGTGGTAGCAGGTACTTGTCATGGTTGAAAGATGAAGAACCGTTTGGTTTCTGCTCTTCATTCTCCTACAAGGATTCTGTTGTGGTCGTGGTGGTGGCTGTGAGGGGGCAGACATTCTAGAAGGAAAAATGCAGGGTTTTCTGTACAGATGCAACTGCAGATAGACGTTCCCTGAATTACTATAGGGTGTCTGCAGATACTTGGTAGCTCATCTTTGAGGATTGTTTCCAAAAGGTCATTGAGGCTTTTCAGATTGCACCTGCTCTTAAATTTCTCACACACACTTGTGCTCCTCAAAGTCCTTTATTCTTGCTTATGACCTCCTATCACTGCCCTGAGGCACCAAAGGAAATAAATGTGTCCTCACACACCTGGGTACTGAGTTCACATCTCATACGGTCTACACGCGTGGCATGCGCGCTCAGTTGTGTCTGACTCTTGGCAACCCTGTAGACTGGAGCCCTCCAGGCTCCTCTGTCCATGGAATTCTCCAGGCAAGAATACTGGAGCAAGTTGCCATTTCCTTCTCCAGGGGATCTTCCTGACCCGGGGATTGAACCCTTGTCTTTGGCCTCTCCTACATTGGCAGGCAGGTTATTTACCATCTGAGCTACTCGGAAAGTCCCCGCATATGGTCTCCATGAAAACCTAATGAAAGGACTGTAGAAAGCAGAGGCAAAGCTCATTAAATTTTCTTGTGACTGTGGCCCCCATAAAGCCCCGCTATATAGAGGAACCATGTGAGATCATGGAGCCCTCCCTTCAACCCTCAGGGAATCTGCCTTTCCCAAAATATGGCCTATTAAAAAAATAACTTCCAGAGACAATTCCGTAAGCTTTCTTGTTAATGTTTACAGCTGTATCAACACCACACCAATACTTTTTTTGGGGTATGTGTATGAACAACAGAATCCATGGATCTAAGTGTCATGAGTACCATGTAATTCTCAAATCGTGAACCTTGTAAGATGCAGCAAAGTGTATTGATGGAAGTTTGTTTAGGGTAATGGATGAGCTATTAACTTTGTAATTGAATCCTTGCTGCTGCTTCTGCTTGTCTTGAAAACCAGCCTGATGCCTTGCAGGGCTTAGTCCTTGGGTCCCTCATTCTGGCGATCTGAATTTTTTCAGTCCTTTGTTGCCGCTGAGAGAGGAAGGGAGATGCCAGGATCCAGCATGGATGGTGCCACGCAATGTGTAGAACACTTAGTCTACTAGGACCTGAACTGCATCCTGATCCATGCTGAGGTGGTCAGTAGCTGAGATCCACAGGCTAGTTGTTTTATCTCTGTAGGTCTCAGTCACTTCATCTGCGAGCACCTTACTTTCTGGGGCCTGGGAGCTGTTTTGGATAGTCGCTGAAGGTCCTTTGGCTCACCTGGTAATGAGTCCGCCTGCAATGCAGGAGACCCAGGTTCGATCTCTGGGCCAGGAAGATCCCCTGCAGAAGGAAATGGCAACCTACTCCAGTATTCTTGCCTGGCAGATCCCATGGACAGAGGATTTCTGGCAGGCTACCGTCTGTGGGGTTACAAAGACTCGGACGTGACCGAGTGACTTAACACAGACAAAGGTCCTTTAGATTTCTACAGTCTATTTGTAATCTGGATTAAAGTATCATAAATGGTGGGGAAAACAACCACCAGTAAACAATGAGCTTTCCTAGTTTGTCCTGATCATTTTTCTCCCAGTCTTGGCCCCTCGGTTGTAGCACGCCCCAGACTTAACACTGGCAGGAAATAGGGTGGTGGGTGCATTTCAGTTAATGGGCCTTAGTTGGAACATGTTTGGCTGTGGAGGCAGCTACACTCCTATTACCAAGCCTTGGCTTCCTGTCTGTTTTCTTTGGGCTGGGTAGGCAATGAAAAAGGAGACAGGAAAATACATTTGGGGGCAAATAAAATAAGGAATTTGTCTTAGGAGGACAGCTTATAGTTGGGAAATTCTAATGCTGGGCTTAACCCTGTCCTGATATATCTCTCTTGTCCTGTACTAAGTGGGTGAGGAGGTGTTCTTGCTACTTGTAGAAACGACCTTCCCATTCTTAAAGGCTCTTAATAATCCACCTTCAAGGTTTATTCTATTATGGATAGTACTCCTGATGCCCTTAATTTTTTCCTGCAAATTCTTATTCTAATCATCATCTTAAATGGCTCTTCTTTGAATTAGCTTCAGTTACTTAACATTTTACTAAACTGTTGGGGCAATATACTAGGGCTTCACTGGTGCAGAATATGAAATGTATTTCTGTTTAGCCAGTAGGCATAATGTTACTTGTTCACCACAGTCCCACTCTACGGATTTAAACTAAACTAATGTTGCATCAAGATTCAGATGTTTTTCTGTTAATATCTGCACCAAGGCAATACTATACTCTTTACTAAGAATGATTGGATGATTTTTTAAAAGTCTTAGTATCTTGGTTATATTTCAATTTGCATAGTTCTTTAATATCTAGAATTCCCTTAGATTTTACACTCGAATAAACTAGAAGAGAGACAAAGTGAGGTTTTTTTTTTTTGTTGTTTTAAAATAATGGATTCTCACATTCCCATGATAACCCAAAGGGTATTTTTCAGTTTCTCTTACAGAACCACAGTACTCGATTTAAAATAAAAAAGCATTCTCTCTGATTAAGCATAGTTTATTATACGCTTTCAGGCTTTGGCATATCACAAAATAGCCACATTCCTCTTGAGAATTTGAGTTTCCCTGCCTGTTTTTCTGTTTCCCTCTTAAAGGGGTTCTCAGTTTGAATTTTCATTTTTCAGAAAGGAGTCGCCATAAGGTACAGTTGTAACATAAAAGAGGAAAAGTCACTTATGGTCATCATGGAAATGTCCCTTTGACAAATGTGTTTGTCTCTGTCTCTGCCCCAAGTACGGCCCAGTATGTGTTCCATGCATAGACTCAACTTTCACGGGATGTTTCCTCCTTCTTGAAATGAGCAAACACAGTTCCAGACATGGTCACCCTTCCCAGCCTCACCAAGAGGCCAGAGGGGGCGCCCAGAGAGTCCCTTTTGGGCTCTGGTGTCCAGACCTCACCACTGACTCTTGGCCCCGAGTCACCCCTCTGGACCCCTCAGCTCTCCATTCAGAACCAAGCCAGGGACACTCACTACGGAATGATGTTTACAAAGCCCTTTGAAATGGAAGACACTATACAGATGCTTCATTATAAAGATCAGTGTTGCAAATTCCTTGGCTTCCCCTCCCTCCCCCCAGTATGTATGTTCACGTATCTATTTAGCATGGTCAATTGTTCAGCTAATTAATATGCTTTTATTTTATGATTTGCTATTTCCAGGGCACAGACAGAAGCTTGATGACTCTAAACCTAGTTTGTTCTCTGATCGCCTCAGTGATTTAGGGCGCATTCCTCATCCCAGTATGAGAGTAGGTGTCCCGCCTCAGAACCCACGGCCCTCCCTGAACTCTGCACCAAGTCCTTTTAATCCACAAGGACAGAGTCAGATTACAGGTAAGACAGACTCCTAGGTCTCACTTGCGCAGACTCCGGCAGGCTGGGGGTGAGGGGCTTCCAGATGAGACGCGTTCACTTCACAACTCCTGGAGCTGGGAAATGGCTTACGATGAAAGAGATCGACACTTGAAGATACTGACCTTCTTCTCCTTTTTTTTTTTTTCTTTTTAATAAAAAGCAAATAACAATATTCACTAACTTGGGGATAAAGCTTGGGGGAAGTCTCTACGGATGCTGTCCTCCGTAGTGATGTCAGTCTGAGCAGAGGTGGGATGGTTATATCATGCTCTCTGGGAGAATGTGTGTTGTAAGTTTCTCTATATTGTGTCCAGGTGGTGTGGGGGATAACATCACACCCTCACTATTAGAAAATTAGTGTTACTGGCTCAGATTTGGGCTTAAGTTTCTTACATGTATAACTATTTCATTAAGTGTGCTTGAAAACTGCCCAGGGCTAACAGGAAGTCTTGATTGGTGGTTACAAGGCAAGACCAAGGAGCGGCTCCTAGGGCAGACAGAATCCCACCCCCACCCCCGCCCATTCCTGTTGAGCTCCTGTTCTTCATGCGACATTTCTCTTCATGCATTCCAGTGTGCTTCTTGCTTTAGTTTTCTTCTTAAAAATGAACATCAGCATCGCATTACAGACTAATCATTCACATTTGGTGCATTAAGACTCCCAACTCTTTTTTTTTTTAATCCTATCTGGCCTGGGCAGATCTTACTGTAGGACTAGTCTGATTGCTTTTATGTCATGGTGATGATAAAGTGTGCTAATCATTGTACATCTTTAATTTGCCATCGCAGTATTGAGAGCAGCAAGGAACTCATAGATCATCTAGTTACTATTGTTGGCACAGGGACCAGATGGGAGGGAAAACGATTCAAAATAAAATGTATGATAAACCTGGATCATTTCAAAGGGTTAGTTTTTGTCTGTAGCAGTTAGGTTTTGAGTGTCCTTAATGGTTTGTAAGCATAATTGTTTATAAACAAAATGAACTGCCTCTCCTTCTCTCCTGCCCATATTAGATATATATCTTCTTGGATATTTACTTATGTTTCTGTGGGTCTATATTAGTCTGAAAATTTGGGTATGCCTGAGTATATATGTTTAATATGATATAGAACTATAAAATATCTAAGCACTGAAGAGAAACAGATACCTGTGTTAGGGAAGATCCTTAGAACTCTGTGAGGAAGAGTCATGTGTTAGATTTAAATAAATCTCCAAATGTTGAAATGTAGGAGTCAGGTCAGTGTGTTCACTAGACATGGGTCCTTGATAAAAATGCCAGGGTGAAATTCACACTAACTGGTGAATTTGAAGCTTGTGGCTATAGGTACTGATGCATTTAAAGTAGTGGACTTTTAAATTTTTTATTGATGTATAGTTGATTTACAGTATTATATTAGTTTCAGATGTATAACATGGTGATTTAAAAATTTTATAGATTATACTGTTTATAGTTATTATAAAATATTGGCTGTATGCACTGTGCTGTATAATATATCCTTATAGCTTGATTTTTATATGCAGTAGTTTAAGTGGTGGATTTTATATTAGTGATTAAGGGTCATAATAGCTGTCCTTTTGTCTTTATAGGAATCTTTAGATTCCATGTGTGTATGTGTGTAGAACCACATGTACACATATATAAATGTGTTTATATGTGATTTGGAAGGACTATGATGGCTAATATGATATATATAAGAAAAATATGTGTTCTATGATTTGGCAATCCCTGGGTTCTTTAAATGTGTGATTTTTGTATTCTGATCCTTGGTAGTGGTTTAGTTGCTAAGTCATGTCTGACTCTCGTGACCCCATTGACTGTAGCCCACCAGGCTCTTTTGTCCATGGGATTTTCCAAAAAAGCATACTGCATTGGGTTTCCATTTCCTTCTCTAGGGGATTTTCCCAACCTTGCGATTGAACCTGTGTCTCCTGCATTGCAGGTAGCCTTTTTACCACTAAGCCATCAGGGAAGCCCAATTTGATCCTTAACTGTTTACTAATTATATTTTGCTAATGACTGATGCCTTTAAAATGGTCTTCGGAGATTGTGTGTTGCTAGATTCTTTTAAGAAGAATCTATTTTCTTAATAGTGATCATGGTTGTATAGTCACTATGAGTTCTCCCACTTGCCAGCATAAAAGGCAAGCTGAACTCCCAGAAGAGCGACATGAAGTTAGGAACTATAAATTGAGGAAGCCCTAAGCCTTCCATGTTTCATGTTATTGTGTCTTGCAGTTCCTGGGGCTCAGGGTCCTAGGCATGCAGTGGGCTGGCTTCTTTGCAGCGCTGGTCCTTCCTGTCACTGTCGAGGTCTTAAATGGCTGTCGTTCTGCCTGAGGGCCCAGGGCCTCCCCATAGTTTCCTGAGGAAGTTGCTTCCTCTGTACCTCTTTTTTTTTTTTTTAAATCTTTCAGACATTTGTTGCCTGTCTCTGGGTGCTAGGAAACACCTAGTCTATCAAAAATATCCACTTTTGATTCAGAATGTGGTAATAACAGTGGTGATAACTATGTCAGGAGATATTGCTCATGATAAGCACTATTTTTTATTTATTTATTTCTGCCACGCCATGCAGCTTGTGGGATCTTAGTTCCCTGACCGGGGATCAAACCCAGGCCCTCGGCAGTGAACGCGCCGAGTCCTAACCACTGGACCACCAGGAAATTCCCCATAAGCACTGTTTTTAAACTCAAAATTCTCTCTGGATGGGTGAGCTGCATCTAGAGGGAATAAAAAGCTGACTCAGCCCCTGGTGGACTGGGAAATCCATCTAACCTTTGGGGTGGGCATTCTGCCACGCTGTTCTTAATTCCTCCAAAAAGTAGTTATTGAGTGCTTTCTGTTTGCCAGGCAGAGATTTACATCTCTGCCTTATCTGTTCCTTTACGGGAACAAGATAGTCTAGTGTCTCTTTGCCAGGGGCTCGCGTTTTGGTGACATATAGTCAGCAATTAGGTCAAGCATTCATGCAAAATAATTTCAGATAATAGTAACATGAAAGGAGAAAATGAAAAAGGAGGATGAGAGACAGCGAGCAGGGCAGAAGCTAATTTTGATTGGAAAGTTGGGAAAGGACTCTTTGGAGAGCTTTGAGGACGGAGTTTCTGGCCAAGGGGGAACTCAGGCCAAAACTCCCAGGGAGCTGCAAGTGTGGTGTGTTCAGGGGACGGGAAGGTCCCAGCAGGTGGAGTGGAGTGAACAAGGGGAGTGGGCAGTGGCTGGATAGCGGAGAATCTTCCAGGCCCTGTTCAGGAAAGTGGGTTCTATTCTGAGCACAGAAGGGTATTATTGAAAGATGTGAAGCAGGCAAATGACATTATCTAATTCACATTAAAAAAATTATTGGCGTATAATTACTTTACAAAATGTCGTGTTGGTTTCTACGGTACAGCACAGTGAATCAGCTACATGAATACATATGTCTCTTCTTCTTTGGAGTCCCTTCCCATTTAGATCACCACAGAACACTGATCAGAGTTCCCTGTGTTACACAGTAGGCTCTCATTAGCCATCTGTTTTATTCACATGTGTTGAAGAACTCACTTTGGCTGCTCTGTGAAGCGTGGGTCCTGAGGGTGCAGGGGCAGGAGCAGGGTCGTCAGGAAATGGCAGCAGGAGCCTGGGAGGGAATTAAGACTGGTTGCACTTCTCCTCTTTCTTCAGAACTCAGATCAAATGCTGGCACCTCTGTCAGGCCTCTTCCAACCCACCCAAGTCAAGTCCAATGCTCCACACCACTGCTGGACATGGTGACAGTTCTCTGTGTACATGTCCATCTCCTCCATCAGACCGAACTTTCCAAGTCCAGGGCCGTGTTTTACTGATCTCTGTGTCCCTGCTGTCTTCGGTGGTGCCCGCTGCTTGGCGACTTGAGGTTTGGTGAAGAACGAATGAGCAGGTGTTTGACTTCTTCTTCAGGAAGGTGACCTGTTACTATTCTGGCCCAAATCTTTTTTCTAGTACCTATTTGAGTGGATTGCTACTAGCTGCTATGTACTGACAGTACTGCTGTGACTACTATATATGGTGTAGCAGGCATTTCTCACAACGGGTCTATGAGATAGGCGGTGATGTGAAAACTGAGGGTCTGAGAGGCTAAATAACTTGCTCAAAGTCCCACCTACACTCTAGTGAGTCGTTAATACAGGAGTTAGGGCAAGATCCACATGGCTGGAGGGTCCTATGCACTCAACCTCCAGCATCTCTGGGAGGCTGAAGTGAACTTCTCTCCTGTCCCTGTTTGCTCCCATTTCAGGCTTTTATTTGTGCAGCTCTTTACCATTTACAGACTAGTTTTACACAAAGTTCTTACTGAAGCCTTAAAGCAGTTGTGAAAAGCATGATTTTCTGCAGGTAGAGGAAAGGACTCTTCAAGAAATGTGTTGCTCTAGGCTCCTGGGCTAGTTTAGTTGACTTTGGGTTCCAGACTCTTAGTGGGCAACCAGCCTTGTGGCCATTGAGTTGGGCAGGTTGCTGACAGTCTGACATATGTCCTAAGGGACCAATGTCTTTTTCTTTCTCCCTTGGATATTTTTTAGGACCCTCAGGGACAAAAACGTTCATAAAAATGATGCATTAGGAGTATCTGAATTATGCTTTAAAAGGCAGCATAATTGTTTTTGATCGTTAGTGGACAGTTACATATGAACCTATACTCAAAGTAACCTTTTAGGGGTATCTTGGAAAAAACGACATGGCAGGCATCATGTAGAATGATGTGGTCTTATTGATGGTTACCTTGACTGAAGTGAAGTCGTTTCTGCCCAACTTCAGTCTGATTCTGTGTTCCCCTCCTTGGCAGACATGCTCCTTTAAGCATTGAGGATCCCAGAAATAGAGACACAGATGAAGAGAGCAAACACACGGATACCAAGGTGGAAAGATGGGGGTGGGATGGATTGGGAGATTGGCATTGACATGCATACACCACTGGTACTACGTGTAAAATAGAAGACTCGTGAGAACCTACTGTGGGGC